GCTTTCCCTTTAGGTGAATAACCTACACAATCGGCATGCTGCCAAGCATCACAAAGGTCACACTGTACCCAAACTCCTTTGTATTTGCGACTTTCACTGACAGCTCCACATATGCACTCAACACGTTCTCTTTTCAATCTTCTCAAGCCAGCGTTCAAATCATCAGTAAATGATGAACCATTAGACACAGAAATTTCATCCTCCGCTGGTTTTCGATGAGAAAAGATGCAAGCAAGTAGTTCAACCGTTTTTCCCAATCCCATTTCATCTGCAGCATTCGTACTTTACCCCATTAAGAGTGGAATGCATGAAAAATATTAGAGGTAGACAAAGCCATATAGACCATCTAGCATTTAAGAAGACTTAAAACATATGTTTCGGAAAATATTCTTAATGAAAGCAAGTCAAAACAAAATTATCTTTGTAAATAATTTTCTGATTATATAGTACATGGAGGCAAATTGAAGCCGCAAACTGTTCATACCAGCAAGGATACCGCCCTGAATTCGAGGTGAAAAATACTCTGGTGCCAATGAGATATTCCCACTAAAAACAACCAAAACATGACAAATGGACCAGATCAAATTAAGTTCTTCAGTAAATGGTCAAACTTTTTTACTGAGAAGAATTTACATTATTTGTTATACGTTGAGAGGAGGAGCTTAGAGGTCAAAATAAAACAAAAAGGACTACTTATATTATTTTCTACTAACCTGAATGGGTTAAAGAACATTTTTGTAGCAGAGTCCAGGAATCCCACGGAGATAGACAAAGGTGAACTGAATTGGTTGTCTTCCTTGTCTCCCACCGTTATTGGATCGCCTCTCTCTCGCTGAACCATCCAATAAGCTGCCCGTCGTTGGTACGGCCTAAGTTCTGGGAGCAAATCAGTTATATCATCTCCAAGCATCGTATTCGTCCTGAATCGACAATGTGCTAATAAGTTGGAAAGATAAATTCAGATATTAATGCACACAAAGACAAACAAAAAAAGTTGTTCACTCACTTTGATGGCTTTATGGCTTCATAAAAAGCAGCAGCATCAAACCCAGACTGCTTACTAGAGTCCAAAGTTTCAGCTTCCGACGCAACTGATGACTCAATATCCTTCACGTTGAATCTTGTCCCATACCTAGCCTCTGATGTCATTACCTCTGGCCTCAACCAGGACATGACATGAATCATACTCTTTTTCCAAATCTGCCTTGTATTCTCAAGAAGAGAATCACAAGAATCAAAAGCCTGCTGAAGCATCTCAACTCTAACTCTAGGAGACAACAAGCCCTGATTACCTGGCATCAGCCTTAAAGTCAAGAACTTTATACTTGCCAAATGAGCAAGACCCGAAACCCCTTCCCCTGGACCGTCAAAACTTGCAGACCAAATCACTGATCCAGCCTCATCATCAGACACTTTATTATCAACCAATTCCAAAGTTATATCACTGGAAGACAATACCGGCCAGTGACCAAGCTTAATCCGATCAACAAAATTGGTCACATTGCAAAGCCGAAACCGTAACGAGCAATCCAGATCATGATCAACCTCAATAGGTGTTGTGACTGTACTACTACTTCCTACACGTTCTCTTAAACTAAAATTCGTTAGAACAACTTCAGCTATATCAAAGTGCTGCTGCTGCTCAGAAATACGACTAGTTGAACATATGTTCACATAGTACGGCTTATCGATATCTTCAACATTCTTTTCCCCCGAACCCTCAGCTTCGTCGCCAGGTAAATCCTTTCTATCGGATTCAGAACCAGTTTGAGTGATCAAACCCACTGAACGCTGTGGCTTGGATTGTTTTCTCCTACCCATCACTACAAAAAGCAAAAATAGAAACTTCATTACTGAGAATTCATAAATAAGATACAAAACC